ATATATACGCGACATAGTCACTGGTATAGTAGCCCTGCTCTTTATATATACGCGACATAGTCACTGGTATAGTAGCCCTGCTCTTTATATATACGCGACATAGTCACTGGTATGGTAGTCCTTCTCTTTATATATACGCTACATAGTCACTGGTATAGTAGTCCTGCTCTTTATATATACGCGACATAGTCACTGGTATAGTAGCCCTGCTCTTTATATATACGCGACATAGTCACGGTTATAGTAGTCCTGTTCTTTTATATTACGCGACATAGTCACTGGTATAGTAGCCCTGCTCTTTATATATACGCGACATATTCACTGGTATAGTAGTCCTGCTCTTTATATATACGCGACATAGTCACTGGTATAGTAGCCCTGCTCTTTATATATACGCGACATAGTCACTGGTATAGTAGTCCTGCTCTTTATATATACGCGACATAGTCACTGGTATAGTAGTTCTGCTCTTTATATATACGCGACATATTCACTGGTATAGTAGTCCTGCTCTTTATATATACGCGACATAGTCACTGGTACAGGTATTGTAACTCTGATCTTTATTTAACTCATGAATGAACCTTACCACTCTCGGGCCTCGATCAGTAATCATGCAGGCCGTCACCTTGCGTCGCCACAACGGTCTTTAAACGGTATACTAAAACGCGCGACCCTAACCTAACCCTCCCTATCTGAACGACAGAAACATAGCAAACGTGATTGTTCTTGAGCAATAGTCGGACAAATAATCATGTTATTTGTCCGTTGGGGATTTTGATTTCAGTATGTGATTTATTATTTTAAAATGACGGGCTGCATGGCGTCGGGTGACCAACTTGACATTTCCGTTCTCTATAGTCACCTTCCAGTGCCAGCCCCCCACTCTACGCCAGCCCCACCACTCTACGCCAGCCCCACCACTCTACGCCAGCCCCACCACTCTACGCCAGCCACACCACTCTACGCCAGCCCCACCACTCTACGCCAGCAACACCACTCTACGCCAGCCCAACACTCTACGCCAGCCCCACCCACTCTATGCCAGCCACACCACTCTACAGCCCCCCACTCTATGCCAGCCCACCACTCTACGCCAGCCCCACCACTCTACGCCAGCCCCACTCTATGCCCACCACTCTACGCCACCACTCTACGCCAGCCCCACCACTCTATGCCAGCCCCACCACTCTACGGCCAGCCCCACCACTCTACGCCAGCCCCACCACTCTACGCCAGCCTACGCCAGCCCACACTCTACGCCAGCCCCACCACTCTACGCCAGCCCCACCACTCTACGCCAGCCCAACACTCTACGCCAGCCCAACACTCTACGCCAGCCCCACCACTCTATGCCAGCCCACCACTCTACGCCAGCCCCACCACTCTACGCCAGCCCCACCACTCTACGCCAACCCCACCACTCTACGCCAGCCCCACCACTCTACGCCAGCCCTTACTATTTCGGTTGCAAAACACAAACCACTAATGTCACGGAATGATAATTCTCCATAAATAGCATTATTGCAACTCTTATCATTCGATGAAGTTTTTCTGTAAAAGAAAGCTCTATATGTTCCAGTTGGCCTTACCACCTGACGCATTGTGTTGTGGAAATAGTGCCCTGAAGTCACGGGCATGTCCCCGTTCACTCTCATGAGGTACATTCTCGGCCCCAATAACAGTTACCTTTGACCTCACCGGTGACAGTATCTGAACTGTCCGTTGGTGGCATTAAGTTGCAAGTTCTTTCCAAACCAAGTTTAGTAGCGTATTCCCACGTTATAATTACTGAAACGCGGCACAGTATCTCCGTAGACTTTTGACATTTCGACAGCAAGAAAATACTCCCACAGTATACCCAAAATTTGCCAGTGCAGGCTATTAAACACATGGCTCTGTATGACTAACCATCCTGCGAGATGGGGGACTTGTATTACCACTGCTACCTTATTCAATCGTGTGGTGTTGATATTCTCAAAATGCATCCGGAGTCTGCCAATGCAGACCGCTTATCACATGCCTCTGTATGACTAACCATCCTGTGTGATGGGGATTTTTTAGCATCGCCTAGTTAGCTTCTTTTTGACACACTGTACTCCACTTCATATAGTCTAAGGTAGCTGCACTAATGCAGATGTACCTAATATGTTAATAAAAAAAAAAAATACTCCCAATTATAAATGACCTAATTGATGCACAGAGTAAAGGATCTCGAATCTTCTTTGTATGGATACCTTCACACATAAATATAACCCATCATAATGAGACAGACATTGCAGCCAAATTAGCGTGTAACAAGTTTGAAGTTGAATTAGATCTAGGTATCCCCATCTCTGCTGTCAAAACTGTATTGGTCCAAACACTCAGATCTGATAGTAAAGAACTTACTGACTCCCAACGACCTGAAAGTACTAGTATAAAAAGCTATGATTTGTTCAGATCTGAAACCTATATCTACGGGCAGCACAAAACGTCCACTAGACTGTGCGACACAGTGGTTGCAAGGATCAGGTTGGGTTACCGTTACCTGTGGCAGGTGGCTGCAGGTGACGGGTCTCCCAATCCTGAGCACTCCAGTTGCAAACTCTGAGAGTAAGAACTGGGTCATGATTTAACGGCTAGGCAATGACTCTTCATACCTGCCAGTATGAAGAGTCAAGGTACTTGGAGCTTTGCTGTTATTTTATTCACTCTCGTAGTTTAGATAATATCCTCATAATACATGCGAAGTGTTCCAGTACAGGCTACTGATCGCATGGCCCTGTATGGCTAACCTTCATGCCAGAAAGGGGATTATTAGTGTCACGCAGCCAACACAACTGTTATCATCTCTCGACAACCATGCCTCACTTGGCCCTCTTCTTGATCAGAACAAAGTGAAAGGCCTCACTAGCATCCTTAGTAGGCCTATGACACGCCCGAAGATCCTTTACTCCTCAAGGGGCTTACTTGCGACAAGCCACTTGACCAGTCCGAAAGTAGGACCTGCATCTGAGATTCAAGATAATCACGTAGCATTTGTTAAGTGGTGAGGAAGCAGAGCGTTTCATTTATACGGTACTCCAGGTCCCCAAGAGCTGGCACACGAGCTGTTGTGCGCCGTCTTAGGCATGCCGGGCCTCGTCCTGTCAATATTCATTCCTAAGTGAGGAATACCTACCAAATGCCTTAGCCACAGGAGAGCTTAAACACAAAATAAACTGCAGGCGATGAGTCACAATAACGTGGCTAAAGTATGTTGACCAGACCACACACTAGAAGGTGAAAGGACTACGACGTTTCGGTCCGTCCTAGACCATTCTCAAGTCGATTGTGACTTGAGAATGTCACTTAAAAATGACTTGAAAATGGTCCAGGACGGACCGAAACGTCGTCGTCCCCTTCACCTTCTAGTGTGTGGTCTGGTCAACACAAAATAAACTCTTCCATTTCCAAACGTGCTTGTTCAGACTGGTCAACCACCGTTTTTTGAAGTGCTAGTTTCCACCCCAGGTCACCGAGTTTTGAAACATTCGCCCCCATGTCTACATGCCATCAGCCGCCACCAGGCCTGTTGTCCACTTCCTGAACATGTTGGATTTTTTACCTCCTGTTCTACACAGGTTGACTTGCTTCACGTCTCTGATCCCCCGCACACTCCCGGTGGAGACGTAGTCTCATCACAAGGAAGATGAATGGTCTCCACGGACCTGTATTTTTTTCCCGTTTACTGTTCACATATGAAAGCTATTCTGGAAAAGTGTGAGTGTGTGTTTGTGTTCGTATTTATTATTTGCATTTACTATTTGTGACTACAAGATCGAGCTGTTAGCTCTTGGACCCCGCCTTTCTAATCAGCGGATGTCTTAGTGTACTGATTCACGACTTTTTTCTATTTCATATATACTTGAAATATTTCTTTCTGAAACACACACACACACACACACACACACACACACACACACACACACACACACACACCAAAGAGCAAGAGCTCAACCCCCGCAAGCACAATTAGGTGAGTACACACACACACAGGGGCATCAGGTGAAAGACACTCTACCCATCTGTTTGTGTGTGTGTACTCACCTAATTGCGCTTGCGTGGGTTGAGCTCTGGCTCTTTGGTCCCGCCTCTCAACCGTCAGTCAACTGATGTACAGATTCCTGAGCCTACTGGGCTCTATCATATCTACTACGAATGTACAGATATTTAAACTTTCTATCTATCATATCTATCTATCTGTAGATATCTATCAAATCTCTCCGAATGTGTGTGTGTGTGTGTGTACTTACCTAATTGCCTAATTGTACTTACCTAATTGTACTTGCGGGGGGTTGAGCTCTGGCTCTTTAGTCCCGCCTCTCAACCGTCAATCAACAGGTGTACAGGTTCCTGAGCCTATTGGGCTCTATCATATCTACACTTGAAGCTGTGTATGGAGTCAGCCTGTACCACATCACTTCCTAATGCATTCCATTTGTCTACTACTCTGACACTGAAAAAATTCTTTCTAACATCTGTATGGCTCATTTGGCCACTCAATTTCCACCTGTGACCCCTAGTGCGCGCGCTTGTGTGTGTGTGTGTGTGTGTGTGTGTGTGTGTATGTGTATGTGTATGTGTGTGTGTGGTGTGTGTGTGTGTGTGTGTGTGTGCATAATGAGGGGGGATGGTGCCATTTCTTACAGTCCATTGCCTCACTAATTCGAGATACGACCCTCTCAATTCCCAACTTTATGTTAGCTCTCACAATTTCTGTTTATTTTTAGTTTACTGGGTCGTGTATTTGTGTATTAGCCGCGGGAGCATCGCTTTAGGTAAGAAGTGCAGCTGTACTTGATCTATTAGACTGTAATTTGTCGAGCTTTGAGCATCGACAGGTTACGTATTATAGCGAATATGATCTACTTACTACGAATGCTTAGGTGTTTCTATAAATGGTAAACATTGCGATTTCACTTAGAATCCAGTACTTACAAGAGTAATCTGAGTAATATTTGTCTTCTTCCCTACAGCGACTCGTCTGCTGTCTGGCGCTGGGGGTCCTTTGCAGTTCTCGGAGCCTCGCTACTGCCTGGTGGTGGCCGAGGACGCCCCGCCTGGCCTCAGGGTCACCCAGGTCACCGCCACCCACAAGGACGGTCAGTACCTCAACCCTTCCCTGTTGTGTAGATCAGGGGCTAGATTCATGAAGAAGTTACGCAAACACTTACGAATCTGTACCTCTTTTCACGATCTTTGGCTGCTTTGTTTATTATTATTAAACAGTTAATGAGCTCCGAAGCACCAGGAGGCTGTTTATAACAATAACAACAGTTGATTGGCAAGTTTTCATGCTTGTAAACTGTGTAATAAATGTAACCAAAACCGTCAAAGATTTGAGGAAAGATGTACACGTTCGTAAGTTCTTGCGTAACTGCTTTGTGAATCTGGCCCCAGGACTCTTCAAGCAATTTAGTGTCCGGTTAGGAAGCCTGCACCTCATCTCTGGATCATGACACAGAGTCTGGTTATAACTCCAATGGGTTATGAGTGTTATGAACGACTTCTTAACGCTTCGGAGCTCACAAACTGTTTAATAAATAGAAATGAAGCAGCCTCCGTCATTGAGGAAAGATGTACATATTTCGTAAATGGTCACGAAAATTGTTTGATGAAGCCTGCAGGCGACTTTTGGCCGCCCCGTGTCAGCAGGATCCGCACCTTTTGTTATATTGGAGTTGACTGCAACTGTTGTGTGTGTGTGCTTCACAAGGACGAAGCTGCCCGAAACGCTTTGCGTAATAGTGGCTTTAGGCATTGTATGTACTAGCTCTATCTATAAACTCATCAATTGTTCTATCACCCCTTGTATGTATGTATTTTACATAAATAAAAAATAAATAAAAAATACATAAATAAATAAGTAAGGGAGAGCTCAACCACTTATGTGTGACGCCTTTCTAATTGTTTGCTACTTGTTTGGGATCGCCATTCGCCAGGAATGTTGTACCTGAGTGTTGTGCGGAGACTGTTTAATATGTTGTTTACTTAATTACGTAAATAATGAACAGTGGATTTTTGTGCACTATTTGTAAAATACAAGATAATTTCATATTTTTGTAATCATAAAATATATTAAAATTTGATTTTACAAATGGGACACAAAAATGTAATGTTAATATGTTACGTAATACAAACAACTTGTTTATATGTTACCTGCAAAATACTTACGCCCTAAATGTTTTTTGTTTTGTTTCAATGGCGGACCAAACAAGTATGTATCGTATGTGTGTATGTGTGTATCGTATTTATTTATTTATTTATTTATTTATTTATTTATTTATTATTTATATATATACAAGAAGGTACATGTGTGTATCTTATGGTATGTATGGTATGTATGTATCGTATGTATGTATCGAATGTATGTATCGTATTTATGTATCGTATGGTATGTAACACACCATTGTTGGCCTGGACGATATTCATTCTATTTCATTTACTCAGGAAGGCTGACATTATCTTTGACTATTACATTGTTAAACTTTAACTCCCTAATCTTCACTCTTGATATTGATTAAGGTTAACCTGGTGCTCTTCAACCATTGGTTATCGTTCCTTTCCCTCTATCTTCAATATGTAAAGCTGACTATTCCATCTATATATATATTTGTGTATTATATATTATATATCCCTTCTAGTGCATATATGTAAGAAGTTCATATTATGATGAAATTAACGTTATGCATGCAGGATACTCTGATTTACCAGCCAGCCCACCCCCAGATACTGTTCCCTGCTGTGTCACACCCACCAGCCCACCCCCCACATACTGTTCCCTGCCGTGTCACACCCACCAGCCCACCCCCCACATACTGTTCCCTGACGTGTCACACCCACCAGCCCACCCCCACATACTGTTCCCTGCCGTGTCACACCCGCCACCTCACATACTGTTCCGTGCCGTGTCACACCCGCCACCCCACATACTGTTCCCTGCTGTGTCACACCCGCCACCCCACATACTGTTCCGTGCCGTGTCACACCCGCCACCCCACATACTGTTCCCTGCTGTGTCACACCCACCAGCCTCAACACACATTTCGCGTTCCCTCAAAAGGAATAGAATTTCTTTGTTTTTATGTTTGAAATGCGAGGAATGTGAATTCACTGAGGCAAAAGCCTTGTGTGACACCCGCTTCGAGCGGTGGCTGTCGGAGCAGCCCTGATTCATCACTCATATTCCTTCTGTCTCGTATTCCTTCCGTCTATTGCTCTGCTTTGCTCTGTCACTTGCCCGCGCCCCTCCGTCTATCGTTCCGCGTCGCTGTGTCTCTTTCATGGCGTTACTCCGTCTCTTACTCGACATCTCTCTGTCAAACCCGTCCCTGTCTCCCGTCCCGCGTCCCTGTCTCTTGCTTCGCGTTGCTGTTTCTTGCTCTGCGTCGCTGTCTCTTGCTTCGCGTTGCTGTTTCTTGCTCTGCGTCGCTGTCTCTTGCTCTGCGTCGCTGTTTCTTGCTCTGCGTCGCTGTCTCTTGCCCAGCGTCTCTCAGGCAAACATTGCGCTGCCGCCCTTCACTTCCTGCTCCAAATAGAAGCGAGAATCGCCTTTTGATGCGTTTTTACAGTTTTGTACAACACGAGGCTCTGGATGTTATGGCCCTCGGTGTGTGGAGATTGTTTTGTTCACTGGTGACTATTAATATAATATAAGGAAGCCATTTAATCTAAGTTGGAGACAGGTGAAACTGGGATCTTTATTTCTTGGTCTCCTACAAGAATTCAAGTTAGATTTATTGTTTATTGTGTAAAAATAAAATGACATTATTTTTTTCCAAATTATATTATACTGTGCTATTCCAGTTGCTTTCCCAAGACCAATTATGGGAATTGTGAGTTATGGAAAAAGATGGCAAGTTAGAATGTAAAGTTTTTAGACTTTGTTTCTATATATACATGGCTTCTGATTGTTTGGGACTGGAAGCCTGTAAGTAAGGATTCTCTAGATTTCTGTAAGTCACTGACTGACCAAGGATGCAGACCAAAACTGTTATTTCACTCCAAGATATTAAGGTGAAAAGAGGCGTCAGGTGTAAGGAAGTGTCAAGTCTTTACGGGTAATTATACGCGAGTCCTGCCGTTTGTTAGCCCACTGCGCTACAGCTCACCAGATGCGTAGATGATAATAATATCTGAATGTCAAAAGATTTGCAATACGATAAAGGTTAATAAAAATTTCTTTGTGCATTTCTTATTAATTTCTGTGTCGTAGGGTCTTAGGTTACAGCCATGATCTTGTGAGGCGACAAGAGGATAACTGAGAACTGAGAAAAGTTCAGTTGGAGCCAATTTGGAGGCGCGTCAGCATGTATGACATTATCTTCAGTGCCGAGGGCGCCGGACGCTTCGGGCGACCCACCACAGTATTTGCAATGGGAACTCAACCAAGCCTTTGTTATCATTGCTTCTAATTCAACTTTTGAACCAAATGTCAATATCGTGGTATATGAGACCGTTATTAGTGCTTGTCTGAATTTTGTTTACTAAACCAATAGCTAAAACGTGTTGCTAGCGATACTAAATCCATTCATTAAGTTCCTTGTTTCTAGTTAAGATGAATGCAAGTACACCAGATACAGTAGCTGGCAGGTTGGGGCCCCGTAGCTAGATCTTAACTTCCTGTAGACTGGCAGGTAAGTACACATATATGTACAAACCCCTCCATAACCCCCATCCCCCGTAACCCCTCACATACACATACAACCTTCCCCTCGTTCACAGGGGAAGAAACTGACTGAGATGAGTACTTGAGAGAGAGAGAGAGAGACAAATCATCAAATGAAATATCGTCGCTGATAAGATGTGAAGCGTCCACCAAAGATATATATACGAGACAGAAAGGAAAATAACGAGATGAATGATAAGATGAGTCACTATAACGTGGCTGAAGATATGATGACCAAACCACACAAACGATTTGTTAGCGTTCATGATAACCAAACCACACACACATCAGGAAACTGAAGTCACGACAACGTTTCGGTCCGACCGAGAACATAAATTTGCTAATGGCCAAGACACACGACGGACAGATATGTCGTCGCTTCTCCATGTTCTGATGTGTGGTTTAGTTATCATAAACGACAACTAATCCATAGTTTAACAACACACATTAGGGAAAACAAATGTTTTCAGGAAGACCTGGAAAAAATACAAGAAAATATCAAAAGAAACGAGAAGCAAGCAGCAGCGGTAGAAATGAATGTATCAGGATCAAGAGAGAACCAGAACGAGTTATAATATAATAATGCTTCGAGAGACACGGACCAACACAAACTGTTACACAGTCAGGTCAAAAAAAAAGAAGAAAAAAAAGTGAATGAGATTTTAAAGGTTGAGGGAAAGGAGATGATCTTACCATAAATGATACAGAGATCTCAAAGGAACTTAGCAAAAATTTCATGGATTTTATATATATATATATATATATATATATATATATATATATATATATATATATATATATATATATATATATATATATATATATATATGTCGTACCTAATAGCCAGAACGCACTTCTCAGCCTAATATTCAAGGCCCGATTTGCCTAATAAGCCAAGTTTTCATGAATTAATGTTTTTCGTCTACCTAACCTACCTAACCTAACCTAACCTAGCTTTTTTTGGCTACCTAACCTAACCTTACCTATAAATATAGGTTAGGTTAGGTTAGGTAGGGTTGGTTAGGTTCGGTCATATATCTACGTTAATTTTAACTCCAATAAAAAAAAATTGACCTCATACATAGAGAAAAGGGTTGCTTTATCATTTCATAAGAAAAAATTATAGTAAATATATTAATTCAGGAAAACTTGGCTTATTAGGCAAATCGGGCCTTGAATAGTAGGCTGAGAAGTGAATATATAGGTAAGTTTAGGCTGGGTAGCCAAAAAAGCTAGGTTAGGTTAGGTTAGGTAGGTTAGATAGACGAAAAAACATTAATTCATGAAAACTTGGCTTATTAGGCAAATCGGGCCTTGCATAGTAGGCTGAGAAGTGAGTTCTGGCTACTAGGTATATATATATATATATATATATATATATATATATATATATATGTCGTACCTAATAGCCAGAACGCACTTCTCAGCCTACTA